TCTTTTGGATTTAATTTTCCCCTCAGCTTTCCAACTTCAGGTAATCACTGAGTTGGTTTGTGTCACTTATATGTTGTTTCACTTTATAGAAGTTCACATAAACAGAATAGACATAGTATACACTAATTTATACCCAACTCCTTTTGCTTAGTAAAACGGTTTTAAGATTAATTTGTATTGTGTAAAACACTAGTTTGTTCTTTATATTGCTGAGTAGTACTTAATTTTATGGCTGTACCACAATGTGTTTAAACTTAAAAATTTCAATGTGTGCTAAGAGATGTGAATGAAGTTCATATATCTTACATATACATATCCAATTGTTCTAATAGCACTTGTCGAAAATCATTAAACATAGTATATAAAACATTTAAGTATTTTTAATGCTTTAAAGCAGCATTCTATAGTTTTTGGAGTAGGGGCCTAACACATCTTTTGTCAAATTTATACTTAACTATTTCACCTTTTTGATGCTGCTGTAGTTACAATTTTTAAACAAATCTCATTTCATCTTATTAGCTGTTAGTATATAGAAATTGAATTCATTACAATTAATTTTTGCATGTTGATCTCATATAGCATTAACCTTTTTTAGGTTTCATTCAACTTTTCTTATATAGTGAATCACATAATTTGCAAATAAAGATTTTCTTCCTTTCCAATTTGGGTCAACTTTATTATTTTTTTTCCTGAGCACACTGTCTAGAACATCTAGCAAAATATCAAAGTTATAAAAATGAATATCTTCTCATTGTTTCTGACTTTATAAAGTAAGCATTTAATCTTCATCATTAAGTATGAGGTTAGGTGAATAATTTTTTGGAGATGATCTTTATCAGTTTAGGAATATCCCTCTTCTTTGATGAAGAAGGGATGTTCATTTTTGTTTTATTGTTTTTCCTCTGTATTTGCAAACATGTTACTTTTCAGTTTGGTTTTTTAATATGGTAAATTGTATTGACTGACTTACAAATGTTAAATTTAACCTGAATTATTTAGTTAAGTCCTACTTGCTCATAAAGTGTTATTTTGTATATTGTTGCTCTCAATTTTCTAAGTTTCTTGGTAATTTTTGCACATAGGTATGTCAAAAATACTAGTCTGTACTTTTCTGTTTTTAAAACATCTTTTTCTGGTTTTGGTGTGATGGTAACATTCATCTCACAAAGTAATTTGGGAATTAAACCCCATCTTTAAATTCTCTGGTAGAATTATTATACATTTGATATAATTTATTGCAGAAATGCTTGGTATAATTCATCAGTGAAGTCACATAGACCTGGATTTCTTCTCTTCATGGGTAATTTATTAGTATATTCAAATATATTGGTGTGTACATACATGCACATATATTTATTTATATTAATTATCTAGTTGTTAAATAAGCTTTGGTAGTTTCTGTCTTCCAAGGACTTTTCCAATTCCATCTCAGCTAGTGAATTTTAGGCAAAAAAAAATTCTCATACCTTCCAATAATACACATTTAGCAAACAATTGAAAACCTTCATGCTAAAATCAGTAGCAAGACAAGGATGCCCACTATCACCTCTCCTGTTCAATATAGCTCTGGAAACATTAGCCATGAAAGAAAAAAATAAAGGCAATAAAGATAGGAAAGGAAGAAGTTAATCTGTTAATATTTGCTGACAATATGATACTTTACGTAGAAGACCCAAAAAAACATTGCCAAAAGATTTCTAGACTTAATTTACAGATTCAGGAAAGTAGCCAGATACAAGGTAAATGCTAAAAAATCAAATTGTCTTCCTGTACACAAATAACAGACTCACTGAGAGTGAAATTAAGGAAACAATTCCTTTCACAATAACATCCACAAAATGAAATATCTAGGAATCAGTCTAATGAGGGAAACAAAAGACCTCTACATTAAAAACTACAACACTCTGAAAATAGAGATTGAAGAGGATATAAGAAAATGGAAAGACATCTCTTGTACCTGGGTAGGAAGAATCAATATAGTAAAAATGGCCATACTTCCAAACATGCTAGAAAGATTCAATGCAATCCCTATTGAAATTCCAACAGTATATTTCACAGAACTAGATAAAATGGTCCAAAAATTCATTTGACATCAGAACAGACCTAAAAGAGCAAAAGCAATTCTAGGTAATAGAGACATGGCAGGGGGTATCACAATCCCCAACTTGAAACTCTGTAACAAAGCCACTGTGAGAAAAACAGCATGGAACTGTCAAAGAAACAGACCAGAGGAACAGTGGAACAGATTAGAAGTTGCAGAAACAGCTCCAGAGGTACTCAGCTACCTCATCTTTGACAAAGGAGCCAGCCTTCCTCAGTGGAGGAAAGATAGCCTCTTTAATAAATGGTGTTGGAAAACTGGATTTCAATTTGCCAAAGATTAAAACTAGAACCATATCTTTCACCATGCACTAGACTAAAAGCCAAGTTGATTAAAGATATAAATATTAAAAAAGAAATACTAAACTTGTTGGAAGATAAGTTAGGTAGAACTCTTGAAGACATTGGCATAAGAAAAGACTTTGTGAACAAATCCTCAGTAGCACAGGAACCAGCACAAAGAATCAACAATTGGGATCTCATCTTTTTAAAAAGCTTCTGCACTGCCAGAGAAATCATGCAGAGCTAAGAGACAATGAACAATGTGGGAAAAAATTTTTACCAGATGCTCCTCAGGAAAAGGTCTACTATCTAGAATATATAAAGAACTCAAACAAATCAGACCCCTCAAACATAAAGACTCAATTCAAAAATGGGCATCTGAGATGTACAGACATTTCACAGACAAAGAAGTAGAAATAGCAAATAAATATATGAAAAAATGTTCCATATCACTGGTCATTTGAGAGATGCAATTGAAAACAACACTGAGATTCCATCTCACCCCAGAATGAATGGCTGCTATCATAAAATCAACCAATAACAAATGCTGGCAGGGTTGTGGGGAGATAGTAACCCTTCTTCATTGTTGGTGGGAGTGTAGACTGGTGCAACCATTGTAGAAGTAAATTAGGATTGGAAGTCCCATTTGACCCAGTTATTTCTCTGCTGGGTATCTTCCCAAATAATTAAAAGAATCATACCACAATGATGTATGTGCACCTATATTTACAGCAGCACAGTTTACAAATAGCTAACACTTGGAAGTAGCCAAATTGCCCATCAACTGTAGACTGGATGAAGAAAATGTGGTTTTTTAATAGATGGAATACTACTCAGCCATCAAGAGTGAGAAACTAGAGACATTTATAGCTCAATGGATGCAAATTGAGGTGATACTCAAGTGAAATAAATAGGACACACGTGTGCAAATACTGAAGCGTTTCTCTATTGTGAGAAACTGAAAGTGTAAATAAGGATCCATATATATAATAGATAATGTGAAAAGGGACAAAGGGGAAGGGAAAATGGAAGGGGTAGGGGAAAGCAAAGAAGGGAATACAATTAATATGAGAAAATGAAAAAATGGAAACAAAGTCTTTGTAGATAGGGAGGGAGGGAGGGGTTGAAGGGAGGTTGGGGAATGGGGAAAAAAGAAGAACCAAGATTGATTATGTAAAGGTACAAATTTCAAACAATGAATGTCATTATACTCTATACCCTAAAAGTACCAATAAAATTGATTAAAAAAGAGATTCAATTACACACACACATTCACACACACACAGTTGTCTGGCTTGCTTGAGGTTGCTCCACACCTCCCTGAAGTTCTTTATATTCTTTTATTCAAATAATTTGTTTTAAGTTTTGGATTATTCCTGTTGTCATTTCTTTAATATTCTAAATTTTTAGTTTAGACACTATATATAACTTTCATCTCTAGAATTTAGATATCTGTTTTAAACAGCTTCAATACACTTTTTAGACATATGAAACCTGTGTATAACAGTCTTTGTGTGGCTGAATCAGGTAATTCTTATAACTGCGCCAGTTTTAAGCCAGTTTTGATTTTTTTTTTTTTTTAGATAGATTCTCACTATGTAGTTGAGACTAACCTGGAACTCACTATGTAGCCTAGGCTGGTCTTGAACTCACAATGATCCTCCTGCCTCAGCCTCCTGAGTGCTGGGATTAAACCAGTTTTGGTTATTCTCTTCAACTGTGTCTTCCAGTTTCAGTTTGTCAGCCCTTACCTTTTTTAGTGTTTGAATGTTTTCTTATTCATATAATACTCTTTTAAGTTTGTTCTTATATGCAGTTATGTTACATGGAAACAGATGGCTGCAATGATGGCAAACCTTTTAGAGCTTTCAATGATACAGTCTGCTGCAGGCAGGGTTTAGAGGCTTAACACTATGACTTGTTAAGTGGTTGCAGAAAAGCATTCAAGTTAGAGCTAATTATTCCCAACTAATGAGACAAGACATTCCTCAGTTCTCTGTGCACTTCTGCATGAATCTGGAGGAAAAATAGCTACTTTTGCTGGCCTTATGTGAATGTTAAGCATTATTCCCTTTAATTCTGTTGGATGGTGCTTTCATTGCTCCTGGCAGTCTCTTTCAATATATACCCCAACCAGTAGTACCTTGAGTACTCAGCAGGAGAACTTTAGCATGACCCTGAGGTCATTTCTCTGTGACTTAGTTCTCTCTGTTCTGGGTGTCTGTGTTAGGTGTTCTTGCTCTGTGCTTTCTAGCTTCCAGCTCCTTGGGATTCTTCCCTGCTCTTTTGACTGAACTGTGGCTTGAAACTTTTCTTGCAGCAGTAAGCTATTTATAGAAATTGTCTCATTGGTTTTTCATCTCTTAGGAATCAGTATCTTTGGTTACTGATGCCTGGTAACATGACTTGCTGTTTTTGTTATTGTTTCAAGCAGCAGGGTAAATCCTGTTCCTCTTACCCCATCTTGGCTGGGAAACAAATCTCAGTTGATCTGAGTAATGAAATTAGGCCTTAGAAAGATCAAGAAACTCTATAGTAATATAGAAAATTCAGTTTATGATAAAACATTAAATCCAGTTTCTTACTACATATACATATACACATACATATATACTTACATCTTTTTAAACTGTATTCCCCCAGAGAAGCATTCATTTTAATGAGTCTGGAATTTAATTCCAAATAATGTTCACTAAAAAAAATACAAAACTGGATATTGTAAGAATTAAAAAGTACTGATAATTTCATGAGTGTGTAAATTCAATCCAGCCTGCACAATTCTTTTATATTTCTAATATTCTTCTATCATAAACAATTTTTTGCCTTATCTTGCTAAAAAAATTTTGGAAGCGTTCTTTAATAATTTTTAGATCAAAAGCATAGTGATGCTAATAGGTTATTGAATGAAGTGAACTGATAAATCCTCTCATGAAATAACTTATGTTTTTAAGAAAGAAGAGGTTTATTTTGGCTCAGAGTTGGTAGAGGTTTAAGACTGCAGTTGGCATGGCAGAGTGTCATTGTAGAGAAGAGCTGCTCGTGTCATGGCAGATAGGATGCAGAGAACAGATATGAGATAATTTACTATGTTTGCCTGGGAAACCCTACCTTCTCAGATGACAGTTAATTTAGCAGGTGTTGATGAATGTGGAATATGCAATTTTATCTGCAAGATTACTTATTCCTGAAAAAGTTTTCAAAAAAAGTTTTAATACAATAACCTCAGACCTAGATTATTAATTTTATTTATTTTTGAGAAAGGGTCTCCCTGTATAGTTCATACTGCCCTGGAACTCACTATGTAGCCCAGGCTGGTCTTGAACTCGCAGTGATCCTCCTGCCTCAGCCTCCCAAGTGCTGGGATTAGAGGCGTGCACCACCACATCCAGCTATAATCAATTTTATGTAAGAACAGAAATTTAACCATAAAATTCTTTAACACTAAATAATTAAGTTAAATATCCTTGGCTTCAACTTGTTCTTTTTAAATGTTGAATTATTTCAGGTTTAAAATGCATTAAAACTGCTAATAAAAATAACATAAAATCTTTTTAAATTAATTTCTTTTCTTTCTTTTTTTTTGGTTCTGAGGATCGAACTCAGGTCCTTGCTCTTGTGAGGCAGGCGGCAGCACCACTGAGCTAAATCCCCAGCAATAAAATAAAATCTTGAAAAATTAGAAAAATTTCTAGATGAAATTAAAACATAAAAATGAAATTAGGAGCAAATAAAGAGTGGTAGTTGAATTCATACTGGTTAAATGACTCAGTGTTATGAAAATTTATATTAGATACTAAATTGAAATATAAATGACTCGAATAGGTGGCATGGCCATTTTCTATTAAAATTGTTACAAGAATTAAATAACCTAGGGAATATGTTCTTAAGAAAAAATAAATTCTTAAAGTTTAGGTCATTTGCTTGTTATTGTATATATTTCATAATAAATAACTTAGGGAATATGTTCTTAAGAAAAAATAAATTCTTAAAGGTTAGGTCATTTGCTTGTTACTGTGTATATTTCCTATATTTCTACATTTTAAACTTTTTTGTGGTTGTCACCTAGAGAGGGTCACCTTTTTTTCCCCACTAAACATCAAGTTATCAGCAAAGTACAAAATGATAATTAAAAATTTCTAGTTCAGTTCCAGGCACACATAGTCCTTTTAATGAATTAGATTATTTCAACTTTGTAAGGATTAATTAGGTACTTGTAGCAGTTTCTTTAAATTTCTCAGAACACTATGCCACTAGATAACTAAGAGGCAGGCTTGTAAACTCAAATATCTAATAGAAGTTCAGAAAGTCCATTTACCTAAATCCACTAGAAAAGACTGAAATTTCTGATTAATTGAAACACTAAAATAATATCATATATTTTTCATTTAAATATTAAGTAGGGTTCAATATTTTTTTTTTTTTAATACTGGGGATCAAACTTGGGCCCTTGTGCTTGTGAGGCAGGCATCAGAACCACTAAACTAAATCCCCAGCCCTAGAGTTCAGTATTAACTAAAGTTTGACAGGTTTCTCCCCTGTAAAACTAATTGTTTTTCTCTCTCCACATCTACTATTAGGAAGTATATGACTAAGTGCAGCCTACACTCAAGTGGTGGAGAACAAAACTTCACTTCATGGGCGATGGAAGCTCTGTATAAATTATTTGGAATTTTCTGGTAAGGAACTTTTTTGCCTTTCTCCTTTTCTCAGGAATTTTCCAGTTTCTGGGAACAAATACCTGACACCCACAGCTTATGATTGTTTACCTCACAATTTCACTCCTAGGTCAGTTGGCTCCAAGGCAGAAAAAGAATGGCAAGGAGTGCAATGGAGGAAAATGTGTGCACCCCATAGCAGCCAGGAAGTAGAAAGTAAACAAAGGGAGAATTCGCCCTTCTCTGTACCACCTTCCCCGACCTCTTTCCTCTGAACAGGCCCCACCTCCTAGCAGCACATTTAGCCAAGAATATAAGCACCCCCATGATCAAATCATCTTCCAAGAGTCCCTATTCCGAATAAACTGAATACATGATACTTTTAGGGATCATGTTAGAATTAAACTCTGACCCACCTCTGTCTATGTAGTCAATCATTTATATTAGGATATACTTTCAGATATTTACTATTTGGGTGACAGTTCAATGGTTTGTTATTTATTTTGCTGTTCAAATGATTCCTGTTTTCATACTGGGGACTATCCTTGGTTGGTATCTGTTTCCTTTTGACATTCCTCAGTACATTTTTAAAAAATAAAATTCAAACTTATCTTGCATTTTCCCTACCTGCCCCTAGTATCAGCTATTTCCTTTGGAGAATGGTATTTAGAAACTCCCCTCTGGGAACTGGTTATGTTTGTTGTTACTGTGGTATCATTGTTTCTATACCATTTCAGCACACACAGCTAAAAAATATATCTAGTATAGAAACTCACATATACACATACATAGAGATACAAACATATTTTTCTGTATTTCTTCGTGAGTTTCTGTGGCTATCACTGACTGTAATTCAGCCTCACAGTGTTCAATATCCTCTACCCATTCTTTATTTGTAACTTCTATCTCTAATAAAAAAACCTGGCGCTGATTATGCAGAACACATGCAGAGCAGCTTCAGAAGTCCTAGCCCGTATCTCATGAAAAATAAATTTACCAATCAGAACACAGTGTTTGTGTATAGTTCTGTTTTTAGCCTTACAGTATCCACTGAAACAGTTTTCCAAAGCTAACTTATGTCACTTTTCCTCCACTTACTGATGCAATTTTAAAGAGCAAAGTGAACAATATGTTATATAGAATTTATATTTTTTATTTTTTATTTTTATTTATTGGTTTTTTGAGACAGGGTCTCACTATGTAGTTCAGACTGACCTGGAACTCACAGCGATCCTCCTGCCTCAGCCGCCTGAGTGCTGGGATTACAGGTGTGTGCCACTACACCCGGAATATATAGAATTTATAAATTTAATGTTACAAAGTTGCATTTTAAAAGATGATTGTGATTCATTTTTTCACAGAACATGCATTCCAAACATATATTGTATGCATCATATTATAATGCACTTAAGTATTATCAGAACTGTTTGTCTTTTGAATGGGGCAGTTAGAGCACTGCATCAAGTCCTCCTAATGTGGTGAGGTGTCAGGGAAGATTACTGATGTGTGCTTTCTCCCTCTGTAAAGAGCACTTGAGATAATCACCTTATAAGGAGGAAAGATTTTTGGCTCATGGTTTTAGTCCATGGTCACCTACTTCCATGTCCTTTGACCTATGGTGGCACAGTACACCATAATGAGAGTGCATGCAAAGATCTGTTCACATGAAAGCTAGGGAGTGAAAATATAGGGAGAGGAAGGGGTAGGGGTCCCAATGTCCCCTTCAAGGGCATGCAACCATTGACCTACTTTCCTTCTACTAAGGCCTCATCTTCTAAAGTTTCCACTACCTCCAGTCGTGCCACAGGTGGGCCTAATCCTTCAACATATGGCTTTTGAGGGATACTGAAGATACAAACTCGCAGATATCTATGGGCACTTATGTTAGATATAACTATAAGTGCAACTCTGCTTCCTCTATCCTAAATTAGTAGGTTGCCTTGGGCTGTGTCTTAATTAATTTTTATTGCTGAGACAAAATACCCAATGCTCAAAGTTAAGGGAGGGAAGGTTTACTTAGCTCACAATTTGTAAAGGTTTCAGTCCATAATTGGATGCACCAAGGCATGGTGTTATCACACAAGAAAAACAGTTCATTGTGGGCAAAAGATAGCAGAGCAACAAGGGAGGACCACAGCTCTTTCTATCCCTTCTACTTTATCCAGGATACTTAGTGTGGGTATCACTCACACCCTTTATCCTAGTGCCTGATTCTAGCATTGCACTGTGAATCAATCCCAGCATCACACACTATAGATCTAGTCACCTCTGAAAAATTCCCAACTATGACTGCTTTGGAAGGACATCTAGACACAAGCCATAACAGGGTGGTACCTTTCTAGGTCTTGTGACCATTTACTCATAAAAAATCTAGATAATAAGATGTGTGAACTAAGGGTTGCCAAATAAACAAATTAGGTGGTTTAAAACAACAGAAACTTATTTTGTCTCATTATTGGAGGGCAAAGTCAAAATCAAAATGTTGTCAGTCCTATACTTCATCTGGAGACTCTAAGGTTAATGTGTTCTTTGCCTTTTCTAGCTACTGGTGCCTATTGGCCTTTCTTCACTTGTGGCTGCATCACTCCAGTCATTGACTTCACGGTCCCATTGCTGCCTCCTGTTCTCTGTTCCCTCTGAGTGTCACTCCTAAGGGCATTTGGTACTGGCTTTAGGACTCACCTTGATAATTAAAGATTATATTCCCACTTCAAGAGTCTTAATTTAATTATATTCTTATTATAAATAAGCTAAAGTTCACATAGTCTGTAAATTAGGACCGATCTTTGGAGGACTGGCCAGTCAAGGAACAAAAACTGGCAATGGCATTAGAGAATATCTTCACCTCATTCAAGTATATTACCTGAGGCTTTAATATGGGGCTTTGTTACTTAAATTTTATATAATAAATTTTCTCACCCTGCCCATTTCTTGGTTCTTCCCTTTGCTCTAGATTAGTTAAATTTGCCAGGGAACTAGGCTTCACACAGTTAATGTTAATAGTTGTACATTGTTTAAAATTTTGTGTATCTGATTTTGTCTTAAATTCTCTAAAACTAAAAACTAAAAACCCTATTTTATACTTCATATGCATCTTTTGGAAAGGCAGTATAAGATAGTCAAAAGTCTACATGGGTTAAAATCCTGACTGACTCATATGAAATTCATTTCCTTATGCAATACTCTTCATCTCTGTGTACCTTTATAATAGAGTTACTAAGTTTTTTACACTTACACACACACACAGACACTTGGATGAGAGAGTTCCTGATCTTATAAAAGCAATGTGTTATCAGCTGTTATTCTGAATTATAACTGCAGACATTCTCCAGAATAATTCCATATTGATAAGCTTAGTTATCCAATACATCCTTTATAAGAATTTCTGCCTACAAAGTTTGCAAAGTTTGAAAGAGCAATCTAGGAGTACTGAAAATTTCAGATATAATCAGCAGAGATAACATAAAGGCATAAAGAAAAGCTGTGACTTTGAATGAATAAAAATTGTCATTTGCTTGGGTAGGTTTGAGGCTCAGGGAAATTCTTTCAGTTCCAATGTGGACATCCCAGTGCTCAGAGGATTTATTTACATTTAGGTCACTAATTCTCAAATCACTGTCCTTTAAAAACTATTCAGTACCATCTTAGGAGAGTTGTTTTGCCTCACCTTGGTTTCCAAAATTTCTATCATATTAAATCCACCATGTTGCCAACTAAGTAGGGAGTTTAGAATGTGAATGTCTAGACCTCAAGACAAAATGACAGTATTTAGGCTTGTGTCTAGCTGTACCCCTAAGGCCTCACATGGTCATAGGTGGGGCTCTTCAGATCTAGAGTGTGTGATGCTGAGATTAAGGGTGCATGATTACTAAATTAGTCCACTGATTGGTTTGTCATAGTTTTAGGTGTGGATTAGGGGAAGGCCCACTGTGGGTGTGAGTGCTATCTGCCCTAAGGCTCTGCAATTTGGATAGACTATGAAGGACAGAAAGAGGGCTGCTGCTGCTGTTGCTTGCTGCTTGCTGCCTTCTGCCTGCTTGCTCTGCAGTGCCTCTCTGCCATGCCATTCTGCCTTGGAGCCAGCCAACTAGGAAGTGCAATCCCTACAAACTATGAGATACAATAAACTTTTCCTCTTTTAACTTTGGGTGTCAGGTATTTAATCTCAGAAATGAGAAAAGTAACTAAGAGAAACAGTCTTTTCCCCTAGGGTTCTCAGAAAGGCGTGGCATGTGCTACAAGGGAAGGGTAGGAAGTCATTGCCTCTGCTGAATTCAATGTGGAAATAAGTACCTATCAGTTTCCTAGACATTAGTTTTACTTTTCAATGGGCTTCTGAGTAAGAGACTTATGGAGACATTTTAAAAAATACCTTTGTGAAATACAACTTACACATCATAAAGTTAACTTGTTTTAAATATAAATTTAATTATTTTTAATAAATATGTGACTCATTGCCTCAAGCAGTTTTAGGCACTTCCATGGAAAATTTAAAGGAATAACTATCTCATTAAATTGCCTTACTTCAAATAAGATAGCATTAAAAGAGAGTTAATAGGATTTTAAAATATTTTAAATCTTAAAATGCAATTTTAATATAATTGTATATTATGTAGAGCTGTCATTAAGTTTTAATTTACACAAACTAATACTGTGAAAATATTAATAAATTATATTAAAGTATTTATACCATCTTCATAAACCTTGGACATACTGCCAAATAAATGATTGGTATACAAATATTTAATTTTACATATTAAGTATTTCCCATTAAATCAGTAAACTTGCCCATCTTCAGTTTTCTTTCTTAAGTATTTCATATCCAGAATCACGGATGAATTACAAATACTAATACTAGGAAATTATGAAAATAGTGGTAAAAATGTTTTCTTTTAACAATCACAATGATAGCTAATAATAGCTAACACTTGTATAGGATCTACTCTGTGCCAGGTATTATTCTAACAATTCATTATCAAATAGTCTTATTTAAGGATTACATTCTGCTGTTAAGAAACTGAAAGCAGAAAGAGATAAGGTAACTTGTCAACATTATCAATATTATGTGATAAGGATGAGATCACATAGCCTAGATCACAAATTTCCTCTTACTAAGGATGTTTTTGTCATCCTTGCTAAGTGCTTTCTAGCACTAAAGAAGATCTGCAATTTTTTTACTGTTATAACCATCCTTATTAGCTAAATTCCACAGATAAGCATCTGTATGATATCCTATACTAGCACTAGAAGTTTCTCGGCATATTGACCTTTTTGTTATACTCACCCTAAAGAACTCCAATCTTACCTTTATTCAACATCTATTCTTTTAGCTTAAATATGTAATGAATGAAACAGTGCCAAACAAAAACTAGTGACTGGAACACTTACTACTATGTCAGATGTTTAACTGTTCTCTCACCATTATTCAGGAATCTCCATGTCTTTGTTTTCTTTCTCTTATCCCACAGGGGGTATACACAGTCACAAGCCACAGAGTTCACAGTGCATTAAGCAGTAAATTTCTTAAGAATTTGGTAATAAAGTAAGAGGAGTAATATTGACAGGAAGTGGGGGTGAGGATGACACACCAAGGGCATGGCTACTACTTACCTATACTGTATCTTTATGCAGATTTGAGAAAGGTGTTATATTAGTTTCTCATCACAGTGACAAAGTACTGAAGAAAGTCAGCCTAAGGGAGGAAAGATATAGTTCAGTTCATGGTTTCAGAGGTTTCAGTTCCCAGTTGGCTATCTCCATCCTTTTAGGCCTATGGGTAGGAAGAAACATCATAGCGCAAGGGCATAGCAGAGGAAAGCTGTTCGTATCCCCAAGCCAGAAAGCAGAAAGGATGAGTCAGAGAGAAAAGGGCCAGGGACAAGTCTGTAAGGCTATGTCCCTACAAGCACTGATTTTTCTTTTCTTTACATTTGGCCTCCTAAAGGAATGATTCTTGAAGCTATGGCAGCTATTTCATGACCATGCGAAGACAAACATGAAGGCAGTGAGGTTATGAAAAAAAACTATGGCTCCTGGATCCTCAGTGACGTCATTAAAAATCAAAAGTTTATGCATCATTTTTTTCTGACATTTCTTCTTTTTCACTATCATCTCCTTTATCACACTCTTCGTTATTTTATTACTTGTCTCTTTAGAATTTGCTTTCAGTCTTTTGATTTTCCTCCCTTTCCCAACTATGACTAGGGGAATATGTAATTTTAGAAAGCTTATTTCATATTATGTAGTTGATGATTATTTGGGTTTAAAAAATAGGTTCATTGAGATGCACTTCATGTACCATACAATTCATATGTTTAAAGGGTATGACAACAGTTTTAGTATATCCACTGGGCTGTGCAACAATGTCCACAATCAATTTTTGAATTTTCATTATCCTAAGAAACCGCAAACCCATTTACAGCCACTGTATTTTTATCTAGCCCTTGAAAGACAATATTCTACTTTTTGCCTCTACAAATTCACATATTATAAATATAGCATATAAATGGAATTATACAATATGTGGTCTTTTGCTAGTGCCTTCTTTACTTTGGCATAATGTTTTTAAGGTACATCTGTGCTGTAGAATTGTCAATAACCTTTTGGTTTTATAACACAAACTATTGGAAAATAAACCTTGACAAAGTATTTTTGATTGCTGAGAGTACAAAAAAGATGTACTCTAAAAAAGCATAACAAGTTTTAAGTAGCATGAGACTCAATTACCAAAAAGAAGAAATTTCAAAGAATTTATTGAGCATCCTTATTATTGATACATGCATGGTATTCTATTTGCAATCTTGGCTTATAAATGTCCTCTAGGGAATGAAAAATTCCAGCCCTACATCTATGCTCCTGTGTTTACTAGGAGTTAACACTTTGAACTTTCCCTCTTCCAGGATTTTTTTTTTTTTTTTTTTTTTGCCAGTACTGGGGATCGAACTCAGGACCTTGTGCTTATGGAGCAGTTGAAGCACAACTGAGCTAAATCTCCATCCCAGAACCTTGTTATTTTTGCTGAAGACTGAATTCACTTAGGCTCAAAGACTCATCATTTTAAACTTCTTTTTGCTTCCATATCCAATCAGTTGTCAAATCCCACACATTTTCCCAAATATTTCTTTTATTTTGGCTTTCTAATACTGTTCTGATTTGAACTGTCTCCTTCCTCAAAATGATATATTAAAGTCCTAAATCCTAGAAAGTCAGAATATGACCATATTTAGAAACAGTATCACTGCATATGTTAGTTAAGATGAGATCATACTGATATATCTCTAATTCCAAATAACAACAACAACAAAAAGAACACTATGTTAGGCAGCTGTCAAATACTATCAGCTACCTATAATAAATATCTGACATAATTTACTGGTAAAGAGAAAAGGTTTATTTTGGCTCACAGTTTTAGATTCCTCAGTCCAGAATTAGCTGTTCCTGCGGCTTTTGGGCCTGTGGTGAGGCAGCACATCATGACAGATGGTCAGGGAGCAAAAATAAAAGAAGAGCAAGGGGCTGTACTTCACAAGAGCACACTCTGAATGGCTCAAAGACTTTTAACTAGGTACCGCTTCTTAAAAATTTCTACAACCTCCTGATATTGCTGCACTGGGAACCAAGCCTTTAACATATTGGACTTTGGGAGATATTCCATATTCTAATTATAGCAAAGACTATGTAAAGAGACGGAGACACAAGAATGCCAGGCGAAGCCAAAGTAGAGACTTGACTGATGTATCTACAAGACAAAGATGTTGCCCATTATCAGAAGCTAGGAGATGTGTGAGATAATTCTGCTTCAAAGCAGTAAGAAGGGGACAAACCTGCTGACACTCTGACTTTAGATTTTAATCTTCAGAACTAAGGCAAGCGATACATTTCTTTTGCTCTGACTTATGGTGTGTAGAACCTAATGAAACCCTAACAAGCAGCAGCCCCATCAACTCTGAACTTGTTAAAATACACTAAGACATCATCACCCCATAACTAAGAATGGTTCTTTAAACAAGATATCCGGGTGATTCACACCCACTTTAAAGTTTCAACACTGGTATACAGAATGGGTTATGGTGGGAAAGAGAAGAAGAGAAGCTCGTTAGAGAGCTATGTTATGGGTTCAAGTGAGAAAAGACAATAGTCTGTTTAAAAGAGGTAACACAATCACTGATTTTCGGTTATGTTTTGGAGATAGTTGGGTTAGTTCTCATAACCAGCTAAGTAGGTATCTTTAGTATCACGTGATACAAGTCAGGATTTCTGAAAAAAAGCTTAGGATCAAAAACACTTAAGTGTAGATCTATTTGGTCCCTGCCTCTGGGTTTCAAGTGATTGGTTTCTTAGTGCTCTAATATTTTACAAACGTTTGCATGTCCTTTGTTGTCCTTATGAAAATAAGCTGTTAGATTTCCCTTGCCTTAAAATGGTTGCACATAAAATAGCCTTCTCCTTCCCATAATGCCCTGCTTCTAGCCTAAAATATGGCTTCTACTAAAGGACAGTCTTCTTCCCAACATGCCTCTTCCTGCCAAGAGTAACCTAATACTTGCTACCTTATAGCAACTGCTGTCACAAGCCCCGCTTAGTGATGTCACAAGCTCCACCAATCCCTAGACACTACCTCACTGAACTCTACACCAGCTCAACTAGCCCCACCCTACTCCTATAAAAGGCCTCACCTGTCTCCGCCATATTGCTCTTATTCCTTTTCAGAGACAGGTAAATCTTTGCATAATAAAGGCCTATTATGGTTCTAGTCTGGTCTTGGTTTTCGGCTCTTTCACCTGACTTATCTTTGTGTGTATGCTATACCTTAGAGTTACCTAGGCTCTCTAGTCATTCACAATGGGTCCTCTGGACTATAAGCATCTTTCAAGTCTGTATTAAATTCTTCACAAAAGCTCTTGTTTTGAATGTTTTAAAATTCAAATTCCAAGGCTAATCAGTAGTTTCTCCTTCACAAGACCCTGGGATTCTCCATTCCGAACTTTTAACTGAGAAAGATATCCTTAAGTTAGTTTTCAGGCACAAAGTAGCTAAGAACTTCGTGAGGTGGTGAGAACATTTTTCTTAGTGTCCTACTCTGTTTTTTAAAAAAAAGAATCCCTGAAGTAAGTCAGTTAACAGTATTGGAAGACTTGGGAACGAACCGAGAGGTTTTTCTTGCCTATCAGTGTAAGCAGCAGAGTACAATTCCAACTGAACAATTTTCTCTATGTCAGGTCTCATCAAAGATTAATAATTGAAAAGCTTGTGCAATTATTATCAAAGACAAATAAATGCTTTTTCTTTTTTTGGCCCTATGGGGAGTAGGAAAAGTTTTTGCATTGTTTCAGAGCATAGTACAACAAGAGTCAGTTTGTCTTCCAAAATACTCTTATCTTGGTGAAACACTTGAGAACAGCAAACTTGAGAAAGTCCAAAGTAAGTGACATTAAAATCTTTAACACTATCACCTAACTACACTTGACTGTTCCCATTCCTGTGAATTTACTTTGTTTGAAACAGTACCCCGAAAAAAAAATAGAGTCTCTTCCAAGAAAACCACGTACATTATCCATTTGAAGGGGATCGCACTAGTAGTGACGCTCAAGAAATTAAAACGGCGGGTCAGCGGGACAGAGGGCAGGGCTGAAGTCTGCTCGGGACCCCGCCTTCTAGTGGCTCCAGGGCTGAGGAGGAGGCCAGGCCCTCCCGGCCTCAGGTACCAGCAGCGTGAATGGCCGGAGAGCTTCGGCGCCTCCTACCCCCCAACTCCGGCCCAGGAGGGGGGAGCGAGGGCAAACGTTGAGGGCTATAAAAGAGCCTGGCCGTGCGGCTCGCCCAGGCTCGCCTCCGGCTCCGCCTTCTCCTCGATCCTCTCGGACCTCGGCTACACGGGCTGCGGTGGAATATGGCGGCTCCCGCATCTCCAGCTCCACAGGCCAAGTCCTCCGAAGCGGAGCTGGCTTCTGCCTTGGAGGACGTGCCCGAACTGTGCCACCTGCTGGAGAATGACCCGTATCTGAAGCCCTTCGCCACGGACTTCCAGCGCAGGTACCACCCAACCCGGACACTGTCCCTAGCCCAGCAGCTCGCCTTCCAGAAGCCGTGGGGCGCTCGCTCCGCCCTGCATCGCGCTGCCTCGCCCTGCTTGTCCCCTCCCGTGCGCCGTCGCCGGCCCTCGCCGCATAGAGGAAGTTTGATGGGCGGGGCGTTACGCCTCCGGTCTTTGCTAGTTGTGGCCTCTGAACTACCCCCTCTGGCAAACTTCTTTTTTCAACTCCTCTCCACTTCCTGTTAATCAGCGGTCTTGCGCCATAGAGTACGTGCTTTGGCTTTCAGCGCTCCTTTCTCCTGTTGCCCCTGGGGACTGGGGACATGCCACTGCCACTGCAGGTCTTGTGACACCAGCGTGTCCTGTTAGTGAGCGTGGGCGTGACACGCGGAGAGCATAAACGTGACTTTAGAACTTTCCAGTTTGCTCCGTAGCTCTATACTGTGATTTTATATCAAACTATTCTGTTAGGGATAAACCGTATCTTAGTTTTTGTTCCTGTAATATTCCACCTTTCAGGGAAGATTAAACCTATTCTGATCAGTTTTTCCTCCCCTTCAGCCAACATTGATGAACAAATGTTCTGTAATATTTGTCATATTTGACCTTGCCACCTGGAAGAAGTGAGGAAAGCCAAACTTCTAAAGGGCACTTGAGGATACTTTAATTTTAGCTTGTGTTCCACCATGCTTCAGCATAATAATTATAATTTACTCAAGTAAAAAAGACAGCAGTTTAAAAAAATTAAAGTAGCTATTATAGTGGCTATGTCTGGTAGTGTTCACTTGTGAGGTGAACCCATTGTGATTTAATAGTTTCTGCTCCCCCCCACTTCAACATGGGACAGTTGCACCCAAGGCCTTCCCACCTTCCCACGGTGCCATGTCCCCATCCCTTTTTGAGAGAGGGTCTTGCTAAATTGTACATGCTGGGCATGAACATGGGATCCTTATGCCTTAGAATGTTAGGGTTCTGGGATTACTGTTGTGTGTTAAACTTGCTGATTAAGCAGTCATGATAAAATGAAAACTCCCTTGGTAACAGGCTATAACTAGGTAATTTTTTTAAGCCGTAGAAAAATATCTAGCTAGTGACATAAAGCAGCGTTGACAATAATCAAAGTGGGTTGCTTTGTGGATTGAAAACAATTTAAATTCATATTCCAACATTGTCATGTTATTACCTGTATTGAATTCAAGACCTCTTTAAAGAAGCTCCTATGAGCACAAACGCTACTGGAGATTGAAAAGGGACAGTAGTTATATACATCTCTCATTTCAGAGTTTATATGTCATAATGAATGAGTGCTCCTCAAAGAAGCCATGTTGGAGAGTTGCTTACTTAAATCAGGTGACATTGCCATTATATAAAGCACTGGGGAGCAGTCTTTTGAAATTGCTTTCAGAAGATGGAGTACATATATGCTTTCGGAGTTACCCCAGAAGCTTTGAATTTAAAGACTGGATTTGATTTAAAGATAGTAAAAAATTTTTAGAGTAAAACGAGGAGATTAAAGGTGATGGTGAGACTTTTTTGATGTGCTTATACAATAACAATGACTAATGTAGTTGTATGCTTTGTAGAATGATCTTACAGAGATTTGTAAAAGAAGAGTGGAAATGTTCTGTTTCTTTTCCATTCCGCCTTTAAATAGTCACAAGCAGAAAAACATCTTTTGTTTTAGTGTTTAATGTGCTTCACTTTGAGCTCCATTGGAATTGAAACAATTACAGTCATCTTTCATAGTTTGTCAAAACTAACAAGGGGGACAAAGGCTAGAATAGAGAAGTAGGAGGGGGATTTCAGTACGAATAGTCTGGTCCAGTGGGTCCTTGTATGCTCCATTCTAAGCTGGATTCTACTTCTGTCCTTGGTTCTTAGTAATTGCTATTTTCTAGCACTCATGTTCCATTTAGGCGTGTCAAGCAGTAATTTGGCATTTGGCAGCTGTAGCTTTTTGTTATTGTTGTTGTTAACAGTTGAAGAGTAAGAGGAGATTCCTCCTTCATGGTCTGGTCTTTGGTGCTGGTATTTACTGCTATGGTTTGGATGTGTCTCTTCTGTAATTCAATTCTTGTTAGTGTAATGTACTAAGAGGTGGGATTTTAACGTGTTCAGGCTCCTGCCATACAGGTGGAATCAAAACATTTATAAAAAAGTTTTCAAGCAGATTTTTGGTCCTTTCTGGCCTTCTGCATGTGGGGGCACAGCATTGCCCCTTTGGAGAATGCAGAAAGAAGGCATTATCTTGAAAGTGGAAAGCAGTTTTCACCAACAACTGAAATTATTGGTGCCTTGCTCTTTGGCTTTTCCAGGCTCCAGAGCTGTTGGAAAATCAATTTAAATTTTTAATAAATGATCTCATTTCAGGTATTTATTTAAAACAGCATGTTTGGAATAAGATATTTGTTGTATTTTCTATTTCTGGTGACTCACTTCAGTAAGCTATCTTTGGTGCAATATGAATATATAATTGTCAACCAAATACATAACAGAGTATGCTTGTTACAGAGTAAAGAAATTTGAGGTACAAACCATAGCATGTAAGTATGGTGATGGGGGAGGCAGTTTTTTTTCCTCATTGATAGACTTCAACTTTTCTTCATTTCACATCCTCTTTTGCGTGTTTGTTATTTTCATCTTTTGTGTTTGTAAGAATTGTGAATCAATTGTGGAGAATAAGTGAGTGTCTCTGCTCCATCAGGTCTCATTAATTGCCCCCTAAGATGATGCTTTATACTTGGTTTTTTGCTTTTATTTTCAAACTCTTTGTTTATACTATAATTGGTTTCTGTGGTCACGTTTCAAAAATCTTGGTGTTTTAAATCAAGAACATTTAATTGTCCCTTTGTGACATTCTATTTTGAGTTAGCTGGAGATCTCTCCTCAGAGCAGTTACTCAAGAATCTAGGGCTTAGGAACAATTTGTTTTGAAACATGCTTCAATAATTGTAGTGGCAGGGAATAGAGAACATGTTGAGCTATGCATTTTGCCTGGCAGGTTAACCCTTGTGATACATTATATTGGTCAGTGCAGGTTGGCTTGTCATGTGAATCTAACAGAGGACTGACATTTGTAAACACTGCTCAGAAGAATACAATTGCTCTAACACTAGTCTGTACTTTCTATTTAAAGTTTATCTAGTACTTGCATATATATACATATCTATACGCCTATATTATAATATATAACAACACCACAAGGTAGGTAGGGGAGGCATTTTTCCTGTTTTACAGAGGAAGAAAATGAAATTTGATCAAGGGGATGACATGAGTTTACATGGCTAGTAAGTGTAGGTGGGTTTAATCATCACTAAAACTGTTCTCATCAAGTTCACAAGCTTCTTGATAATTTAATGGGTTCATCTCTCCTATTTAGCTTTGCACATTATGAACTACTTCTGGCCTTTGAAGCCATTATATTTTTTCTTCCATTATCTTTGGGGTTTCTCCTTATCTGCTTTCACGCCAATTAATGTAAGCGATTCTCAGGGGAGTTCTCTAGATCTTTCTCTGTATTTCTGTTTACTATATTTTTCCTAGGTATTCTTATGCATCCTGTGGATTCTGTCTCCTGGGGCTACCAATATCTGTTTTTACCCCAAATCTTTCTCATGATCTGAGACATAAGTATTTTCATTTTGATGTCCTGTAAGTACAAAGCTTGACGTGTATAAAACTGAATTTAAAATTTTCATACCAAACCTATTTATGCCTTTATATAACATCTTTATATACAATCAAGTGCCCAAGCTTAAACTTTAAAATACGTTCTTAATTACTCCTTTCTCCTCCTTTCTTCATTTCTCAGTAGTTGCTAACTCTTTCAAATGTGTATCACTTTCCATTTCTACTGTTATCCTATTTCAATGATAATTTTTGGTTTATAAAAAACAGTCTCATAGTATTTATTGTCCACTTTTCAAATTTTTACCACCCTCTTACTCACTCCACTCCCTCACTCAGAAACAGAGTAAATAGAATGAATTTTGAAATAAGCATGATACTCCTCTGCTTTAATCCTTTCAATAATTCTTCATTTCTCTTAAGGAACAGTATGTAGTCTTTCTCATGACCTGTAAGCGTGTATATTACCTACTCCCTGTCAACCTTTTTAGCTTCATATTTGTACTCTGCCTCTCACACTGTACAATCCAACCAGAGGGGGCCTAACAGAAGAGGAACAACTGAGATGTCCGGGCTGTCTTGTAAGGTGCATAAAAATATCAGTACAATAAATCAGAGACACGATACCATTTTCCACGTTTAGTCCTTTGTTCTTGAATATTGAAGATTTTCATGTGTTGTGCATATATACCCAAGAAGTTGGGTAGGGTGTCGGAATGTAAGGCAGTACAGATTAAAAATTAGAGAAATATTCTGGTCTTTATCAGAAAAATGACATGTTTTAGCTTCGGAGTTAATAAGTGAACTTTTACATGTATTTAATTTTTATTAATATAAAATAATATGAAAGTTTATCCCATGAAATAGCTCTTGTAACAAATTTATAGGATATAAGCATGAAGATATGCCACTGTATTATCCTTTTCTGGATGGTCTAACGCCATGTCTGTCTATGCTTTTATACATGCTG